ATCAGAATTTTTTTTTTCTTTTTAATTTCTTGCTGTCTAATTTTTATTTTAGGAGACAACAATGGATGGTCTATGCAATTCGACAACTATTTTGCAAATTACTACAATGCATATCCCTTACAAGAAGAAATATTTGAATGTTGTAAGTAACCAGAGAAATGGATATTCTTTCTATGTGGTTATTTGTTTTTTGTTTTTTTAAATCTTCAATTCCATATTTTTAAGTTAATTATAGTTTTCTAGTTGCAAATCCCAGTAGTGATGCAGCTTTAATATGGGAATTTTATTTTAGAATTACTTAGGTACTTTAAGTGTAGAAGTAACAACTAATTATTATTGCAAACAAAATTAATGTCACTCAGTCGAATTGTTCTTTTATATAAATTCTCTTTTCATAATCACTAACAATCTTATAAACTCTAATGTAAAGGACTGAAGAAGTAGAAGCACAGAGAAGCTGTGTGGGTTTTAATATTCGCAAGTGGAAAGTCCTCCAGGAATTAAGCTGTATTTTAGAGCTCCAAAATCCTTATTAATCATAACCTGCTGTGGTTAGCCGTATTCCCAAAGCTTACAAAAATACTAAAGGGCTTTAGGAGGGGAGGTGCAGGTTATAACCTGTGTGCTAATTCTATAATATTTTATATCATGAAAACCTATGAAAAATAACTCCTTTTAGATAAATTTAAAGTAGTCTCATGAATTATTTAAACATAAATACATGCCTTGGAGTTACAATTTTAGCCCTAGCTTTTTAAGACGTGACTTAAAAGCAGAGAGTATGGGGAGGAACACTTATTGTGTATTTTCCTTTATATTCTAATACAAAGTCCATATTTTCAGTTTTGGTGTTTTTTTGTTTGTTTTCACTACACAAATTTGATTAGATTTATTAACTTAAAAATTAAAAACCACTAACAGCTTTTATTTAAGTAGATAATATATACATCTTCTGACTCAACAACTGTCTAGCTTACCTATCTCCAAGATCATAGAGATCAAATTTGATCATTAAACAATGAAAAGCTTTAGAGAAAAACAAAGGTAACTAGCAGATCTCATTTAACTGCTAGTGTAATATTAAAAAAAAAAAACTCATGGATTAGCCTGTAACTCAAACAGTAGTCTTTAGTATCTTTTTTATTTTTATAGTGTCTTTTCTTTATATTTCTTAAATTTTAATTGAATTATTTTATAATTCATCTTATTCCTAAAAGGATTTTATCTAGCTTTTGATAACTAATGGACTTAAACCATTAACATGATATAAAAGATAAAAACCAAATGGTGAGGAATACAGAAACAGAGAAATAGAAATAGAGAAAAAGAGAAATAGAGAGGAAATATATTCAAGAGGACTTCAAAAAGTTGGTAGGAAAAATGGAATTAAAAGATAATGAAATTTGTCCATGGACTTTTTGATGCCTCTCTGTATATAAAGGAAATTTTCACTGAGAATAGTTTAGCATTTGAGTGCAAAGCTTAATTCTGCACTTTGTGGTCATTAAGTCATAAAGGAAGGCATAATGGGTTACACACTTTCAGAGTCTAGTTTGTTACACAGAAACAAACACATGGGGAGGAAGGTGGGAAACAGATCAAGTGTCACAATTTTTAACTGAGAAAAAGATGAGGCTTTAAAGCCTCAGAAACCCTATACAGGGTCACTATGAGTCCTAATCAACTCAGTGGTAGTGGGTTTGGATTTTTTTTTTTGGTTTGCTGTGCGCTGGAAGAAATTTTTTATAAGTATATTTGTGTGACACTGTAGGATAAGCCCTGGACTGCTAATCAAAAGATTGACAATTCAAACCCACCACCTGCTCCTCAGAAACCCTATGCAGGAATGGGGAGCCTTTTTTCTGCCAAAATTTATAACATCATTCTCAGGCTATACAAAATTATCAATTTAAAAATGCAGCCTGCTATATTTGGTCAAACATTTAGTTAACTCACCATAAGACAACAACAGCAAAGGTCAGTTTGAACCACAAGGTCATCTCACCAGCCACTCCTTGGAAACCCTATACAAGGTTGCTATTGGTCAGAACTGACTTGATGACACTTAGCAAAAACAAGCAACAATGTGATGGCTGGAACTGCCGTTGCCTTGGCAGGGTCAGACCAGACGTTCCCCATTCCTGCTACACAGGATTGGTATGAATTGGAACCAACTCCATAGGACTTAACTG